AGATCTCCACCGAGGTCGACGCCTCCATCACCAACGACAAGCCCAAAACCTTGGTAGTAAAAGTGCAGAAGAAGAAGACGGACCTTCCAGACCGAGACACTTGGAAAGGGAAATTTGACTTTCTTATGTCCTGTGTAGGTTATGCCATTGGCTTAGGGAATGTGTGGAGATTTCCGTACCTGTGCGGCAAGAACGGTGGAGGTACGTTGTGCTTAGGAGTCGCCACCAAATTACCAACAAATCAAACCCTGGCTTCAACAGATTTTTCAGACATGTAGATTATTTCAGTTGGGGATTTTTTGTAGGTTTTTTGGGGGAATTGTGGGTTTTGGGTGGTGTTTTTTGGTTGGCTGGATGGTTTATTGGGGGGTGGGGTTGGGATTTTTGGCTTTTTGATTGTTTGGTGTGGTGTTTTAGTGGGGTTTTTTTGACTATTTTTGCTTTGTTTTGGGTCTTTTGGGTTTTTTAGTTGTGATTTTGGTTTGGTTTTTGTTTGCTATCAGAGATTTTGAGGGTTTTTTGGGTTGATTTGTTTTGTTCTGGGGTTTTGGGGGTTTTTTTGTTGTTCTGGTTTTTTGTTTTGGTTTTTTTTTGTTTTGTTTTGGGTCTTTTGGGTTTTTTAGTTGTGATTTTGGTTTGGTTTTTGTTTGCTGTCAGAGATTTTGAGGTTTTTGGGGGTTGGTTTGTTTTGTTCTGGGATTTTGGGGTTTTGTTGTTGTTTTGGTTTTCTGTTTTGAGTTTTTTGGTTTGTTTTGGGTCTTTTGGGTTTTCTAGTTGTTATTTTGGTTTGGTTTTTATTTGCTTTCAGAGATTTTGAGGGTTTTTTGGGGTGGTTTGTTTTGTTCTGGGTTTTTGGAGTTTTGTTGTTTTGGTTTGGTTTTTTTGGTTTTTTTGGGATTTTTAGTTGTTTTGGTTTGGTTTATCTTTTGGTTTTTTTGGTTGTTTGCTGTGCTGTTTTGGGATTTGATTTTTTTGGTTACTTTAGGGGTTTTTGTGGGTTTTTTGTTTGGTTTGTTTGAGAGATTTTTGGGTTTTTTTTGTTTTTTTTTTTGTTTTGTTTGGGGTTTTTTGGGTTTTGTTGTTGTTGTTATTTTGGCTTGGTTTTTGTGTTTGCTTTTGTTTTTGGGATTTTATTGCTTTCCACTTTTCCTGGAAGTTCAGAGCCATTTTGGAGTGTGGAGTTCGCCTCTGAGCTCTGCTCTGAATTTTATTCTAACTCCTAGCTGCCAGTTGCTCTTAAAAGATGATAAAATATCAGAGCAGAACTAAAGCTCGTTGCCCTCAACCCAACCCTGCAGATCCCTCTCTTTTGGGCTGACTTTTGAGAGGATTTCATGGGGTTTGCAGCTGACTCTGAGCTCCCCATAAAAGGCTGGAAAGAAGCCAGGGCTGGTTAAAGCCTTTGTGCTGTCTGTGAGAGGTGAAGGCAACAAAGCCCACAGGCTTCTGGATTTCAGCTTTTTCCTTCAACAGAAAGAATTTAAACGATGGGGAGTTATGTTTCTCCCTTTATTTTCGCTGGTTCAGAAGTGCACGTGTGGTTTCTACTGACATTTTTCAAAAGTTACACCTGAGAGGAAAGAAAAAACCCCGTGGGTTTCTTTTCATAGGTGAAAGGGACGGAAAATGGAGATTCAGTTGTGTTTTTTCCCACTATAACTGACTTTTTTTGGAATTTCTTTTTAGGTGCATTCCTGATCCCTTATTTCCTTACTTTAATTTTTGCTGGAGTGCCCCTGTTCCTTTTGGAGTGCTCCCTAGGTCAGTACACATCTATAGGAGGCCTTGGAGTGTGGAAGCTTGCTCCAATGTTCAAAGGTACAGTACGGATTCCAATTATTTCTCATTTGTTTCCAGATTGCAGAAGTTTCACAAAGTGCCAGGGCAAGGAAGTTTCTTGGTGCCTTTCATTTATATTTAAACCATGATTTTTCTAGAGAAAGCACCGATTTTCTGAGGTGTAACTGATGATTTTGAAACGGTCCTGGGCTCTATTTTGTTTACCATTGAAAATAACAAGATTTACACATTAGAATTGCAGCAAACTTATTTTTAAACTTCAAAACTCTGGGTTTTTTTGATTTTTATTTTTGTAGAAATGCATATAGACTGTTACAAACAGCATATCCAGCAGTAGTTTTCTGAGCAGTTTGGAACTGTTCACAGCAATTTGGTAAACTTCAGTAAATTCTTCTGAGCTCACAGAGATTGGCATCACCTGGGGTTTTTTTAACCGAAATTCAAAATTTGGCAATTTCATGCTGAATTCCTTAAGACAAGCTCACTCCACACTTTGACCTTGAGTTTGAGGTTTGATTGCCAGAACGCCAGGGTTTTAATCCTGGTTCTGCACAGACCCACAAGCCTCTCAAACGATGCCTTTCACCCTCCTAATCCCAAATCCTTTGACACTTCCGAGCTCCTGAGCTGAGTTGTGGCCCAGCAGAGCTGCACGTGGTGTTATAAATTACCTCACACAGTAGGACTGACAATTAGCACAGGGTGAGCTGAAAGCTTGTTGAGATTGAATTTTGCCCTGGGAGATTTCTGCGTTGGGGAAACGCAGAGAGATGAAATTGTTTCTCACAGAGAAGTGTTTTTGCTGGAGTTGCTGCTGTTGGCAGGGGCTGGTACAGCCTTGTTTGGCATTATCCCGTTTATTGTGAGCACTTCCTCCTGCTCAGGGTCATGGAACAGCTGTCCTGAATAGTTTAGAGCAGCCCTGGAGTGTCCATGTGGAGCAGAAGACGTCCTCATGGTGGAACCCTGGCATTTCTCTGCTCTGACGTGCCAGCAGCCCTGTGCTGAGCACCAGGCACTCTGATCCATGTCCTAAATGCCTTGGAACACGCTCTCAGTGTGTGTGCATCTGCCACCAGGTCCTGTGGGGCTGCTGTTGCAGAGAATGAGCTGATTTAGCTCTTTTTTCCTGGGAGTAAAAGATGCCAGGCAGCTCTCAGCAGCAGCAGGTGGGACTGCAGCACGCAGAGCTGAAGGCTGGCAGTGACCCCATGGATGGCTGAGCCACCAGCCAAATCATGACCTCTGTGTAATGGCTCTTCTGAAATTCTCCCTCGTGCAACATTTCCCCAGCTGTGCCTGCCCCGTGTGATGTGTGTGCCCCCAACTGCAGCTCTGCAATTAAAAGTTCCCTTGTTTCATTTCTCTTTGTTCTCCTTACAGGTGTGGGACTGGCTGCTGCAGTCCTGTCCTTTTGGCTAAATATTTACTACATTGTGATTATTTCCTGGGCCATATACTACCTGTATAATTCCTTTACCACTGTAAGTGTGTGTCAGAGGGGATGGGGAATTGTTTCTTGGATGTAAAGCCAAGTAAAATATGGATATATCGCTAATCTGCTTCAGTGTAGATGTGTGAGGTTAACACAGCATGCACAGAAATCTGTAGGATAATCCATCCTTACTGAAAAAAAAAACCCTATTTTGTAAAAATATCTTTTAATTTTTTTTTTTCTCCACAAGAAATTTAGAACAGAAAACTGAGCTTACAGGCCATTCACTCCCCCAAGAAAAATTCTAGTGTACAATCAATTATTTGATTTCTCCAGAAGCAGCCACACAAACATGAGTTCTCTGGGAAACAGTATCATTGCAATGTGGTTTAATGATTGAGGGGTTTATTAAAGAAACCCCCATGGAATGGAAGGTCTGTGATTTGATTAACTCTGAACTTCCATTCATTGTTGTTATTTTTGCTTTGTTTTCTTTCCTGTTTACTTTATTTTTAGCTGCCTTTTTTTCCCCCTCAAGGGTGATTCATCAGCTGAGTAAGTCTTGTCTGATTTGTGGGGTTTGGCCATCTGAGGAAGCATTCTTACATAAGTTGTATATAATTAATGCATCATTGTTCAATTGTCTCTTCTATAAATTTTGCTCATGCTTGCTTGTTCTTGGCTTTAAAGAATTTTGCCTTGACCAAATTTGCATAAATTACTGTCTGGGAGTGACATGACCATTTCTGCTTTGTTGTCCTCAGAATTGTTATTGATGTGAAAGGTCAGGCAGAGTCTGGAAGTGTTTCTTGTGGCCCATGTTAAATGAATATTGACTTCTAATTCCCTTGAAGCCTCTTATCCTTGTGTATAAAGCACGCAGTGCCCTGATACAGCAGTTCTGTGAGAGGATTTTCCAACAGTTGCCATCAGAAGGACCTGTAAATTATATGTAAATGAGGCTCATTCTAATGGATACCATGAGAAACAGGTTCTGCTCCTCAGAACTTCTGAAAGATGGGATGGACACATGCAGAACGTGCACGCAACAAATAAAAATTTTACCTTTTTCTAGCTATCCCCTGACCTGAGGGGAAAATGAAACTCTCTGATCAATAACCATCACAACTTTAATTATCTCTTGTTCAACAAGAGGTACCAGGACCTCCAGGAGGTCCTTTCTGTTGTTTCAGTATACTCTCATGGTGAGTGTATTGAATCCAGAGCATTTGGGCTGCTGTGTTAAAGGAAAAAAAAAGGAATATTTCCACACCTGCCTCCCACAACTGATAGGAATTTAAATAACTTTCACCCCGGGGAGATCAATGTCTGCAGAGCTCCAGGTGCTTTAGTTCTGCACTCAGCTGTCAGTTCTAGCAAAGAAAGAGATACTTGAGGTAATCCTTGCTTAAAAAGTGTTTGAATTGAGGATTTTTTGGTTCTCTTCCTTGGCCAGACCCTTCCTTGGAAGCACTGTGAGAACCCCTGGAACACCGACCGCTGCTTCTCCAACTACACCTTAGCCAACACCACCAACATGACAAGTGCCGTGGTGGAGTTCTGGGAGTAAGCTCAGCATTTCCCTCTCCCCTTCCCGTGCAAGGATCACCTTGCTGTCCTTCCTCTTTTATCCTGTGAGCTCTTTGCCAAGCGCCCCGTTCTGTTGGCTCGTTCCAGACGCAACATGCACCAAATGACCGATGGCTTGGAAAAGCCGGGGCAAATCCGATGGCCGCTGGCAATCACCCTGGCAATTGCCTGGATTCTGGTGTATTTTTGTATCTGGAAGGGGGTAGGCTGGACTGGAAAGGTAAGATTAAAGAGTACCGTAAATGCCTTTCAAATAAAAATGTCCATTTTGCTCAAATAGTCTGAAAATTCTTGAGGTAAGAGGCCCAGGGGGAAGTGTGGCTATCTGAGCTCTGTGAAGTATTTAATTTGTGTTTTCTTGGATTGGTACAGCCCTGTGTTCTTGAAAGAGCTGGCTCCTCTGTAGCTAGCTCAGAGCACAGCCTTAGATGCTTCACTTACAGGCCTCTTGGCCAGGTAAAAAAATCAGCTAAAATTATTCCTGCTTGCTCCTGAGATGGATATTCCAGCTGGTTGGGATAGCAGTAGAGGGAGGATGAAGTGGTTTGGTTCCAGCAAGAATTGTGCATTTATTTTATATACACATATATGAATTGTGCTCTTGCTGGAGCTGGAGATGTAAGGGAGTGTTGGGAAGAGCTGCTCACCACTTCGTGTCTGTGAGAAACATTTGAGGTGCTTTCACAGGATTTCACGCTGTGCTTCCTGGGGTCTGCCTGGCTGTGAGTGGAAATTAGGATTTATTAATCAATTAAAGGAAATTATGCTATTGAGAGACCTTGCTGAATGAAAGGGCAGCAACCTCTGGCATTGGCTCATGCCTTTCCCTGTCAGAAGAAATCCTAGGGAAACAAAAAGCTGCAGCAATGGGGTTTAGTGTCAGCTGAAGGGAAGGGTTGGGTTAGAAGACCTCAGGTGTGGTGCAGGGGACTGGGATTTCTTCCCACTGAAGGAATGGATTGTTAGCTTTTGACAAGGGGTTATAACTGTGACCCACCTGAAACTGGAACTGGGCTTAGCTGAGCTCAGAGCAAGCCATTCTCTTTCTCCTGTCTCCAAATCACAAAGAGGGCAAAAAGAGGGCTGAGTCTAACTTCAGAAAGGGTTTTTCTATAGGACCTCTGAAAAGGCAAGAAAGTGGGAGCCTGTAATAGAGAGGAGGAGAAAGTGGGGAAAATAAAGTGCCAGATGTTTTACGAGCAGGAGTCTGGTGCCATGATCCTGGTGCTTTTAGGATTTCCTTGTGTTAAATACCAAAAAGAGTGTGTGAAAATATCCTAGTCCAATCTGTTCTCTTTGCAGAAAAAGTAGTGAACAGCCACCTGCCTTTAGACCTGGGGAAGTTCAGGGAATTTTGCTGTAGGCACTTCCCAAGCTCTTTAGTTGAAAAATGCCTCAATTTTACAAGCCACCCTCAGCTGCTGCTAGGGCATTTTCAGGGAGCAAATACTTCTGATCATTGTTCCTTGCACATTTACACTGTCTTGTTTCTTCACATCAGGTGGTATATTTCTCTGCTACTTATCCCTATGTTATGCTGCTTATCTTGTTCTTCCGTGGTGTAACACTGCCTGGAGCAAAGGAAGGCATTTTATTCTATATAACTCCCAACTTCAGTAAGCTTTCAGACTCTGAGGTAAATATTCCATCCTGGTAAACAAAAGTTTCACTCCTCACTGTTCCCCTTTCAGACATATGACCTGCTCCTCAAGTGCAGAAACAGATTTTTAAAAAAATTGTTTCCTGCAATCAGGTTTGGCTGGATGCTGCCACACAGATTTTCTTCTCCTACGGTTTGGGTCTTGGTTCACTGATTGCCCTTGGAAGTTACAACCCTTTCCACAATAATGTTTACAGGTGAGCAGATGACTGCACATATTGCAGCGGCACTTGCCTTTCTCAGCTGGAGCTGAGCTCTGTCTCTGTGTACAGATAATTGAATTAAAGTTTAGTATTGAGTATTAACTGTTCTGGCTGGCTGGGGGTGAGATGTGTAACAGTGGGAGAGACTTCCTCAGCATGAAATGGAACCCAAACTGTGAAATCCTAAATCATGAAATCTTTCCACAGGACAAAAAAAAAAAAAAAAAAAGCAAACTAAAAAGGATGAACATTTCCCTTCCCTGCTGCTTAAAGCCCCTTTTCCCTTTGTTTCAGGGACTCCATCATAGTGTGCTGCATAAACTCATGCACGAGCATGTTTGCTGGCTTTGTCATCTTCTCCATCGTGGGATTCATGGCCAATGTCACAAAGAGGCCGATTGCAGACGTTGCAGCATCAGGTACCCCATATCTTTTCCTCGAAGCTGTGCATCAGTAATTTTTTTGCTTGCAGGTTGTTCCTGCAACTGCTCAAAATCCCTCCTCAGAGCTCCTCAGCTCCCTGGCCCTTCAGTGTCCCGATGGCAGAAGGAAAAGTGCTGTCCCATCCCACTCCAGGCAGAGCAGGAGGAATGCTGGTCACTATGGGGTGGCTTTAAAGCTAATATTTCCCACTTCAGTTGGGTTTTAATTCTTTTTCCCATTTCTTGAGGTTAAACCCTTCGAGGCAGATCCATTTCTCACCTGCTCAGACCTACACCTATCTCATGTGATTCTGTATCAAGAGAGACATTTTATTTAGGGCAGGGAGATGTCCATGGGAGGATTCTGCTATTCCTTGCAGTTCCTTGTCTGTCTTCCAGCTGAAAGAGCTTAAAGCAGCAGAGCAGATGGCTGCCCTAACCCAGCTGGTGCACCAGATACTCACTTAGCAGCTCTGGCCACAGGGAGGGATCTCATCACTCAAAGCTCCGTTGGAGCTCACTGGTGGACAAAATCTGGATGACTGTATTAGCAAACACAGCCCACTGAAATACCTCCTTAGGTAGAAAAGGAGAGAATTTAAGCCTCAAAAATAGCCTTCAGTAAATTACACATACAAAGAGATTAGGTGCAAAGTGATGATGGCAGGCACTGTTATTAAAAGCTGCTCTGGAAAGGCAGTGGGGTGTGAAATAAGCTTTTTGGAATTATGTCTTTGATACAGACAGAGTTATATAAAGGCTACACCTGCAAGCACGACAATATTTTCACGTCATGTTAAGTACATTTGTTAACAGACCTCTGAAAGATGCCCATGACCACTAATTGCAAAGGATATTTGAAAATTTGACCCTTTAATTAAAGCTTCTATTTCTCCTAGTAAGTTCAGAGGCTGGTGCCAGATTTTACCAGAGGTTGTTTTGCCATCTTTTATACAGCCTTATAAAACAATATTATTAAAAGGTGTAGCTGCATTGCTGTGGAATGCAAAACAGAGTAAAATTAACATATTTATCTGAAGTTTATTTTCCTTTCAGCACTGCTATTTGGAATGCTTTCTGAACTGCTTTCCAGTCGTATCTGCTCTTGTTAGCAATTAATTCCTTCAAAATTCTCATTAGACTTTGACAATCCAGGTGCTGATGCCATCCTTGCTCCACTGGTTTGGGAGCTGTCACCAAGCCCTTGTCACTGACAGACTTTTAATGGAAACTGAAAAACCAGAGACACTCCCTAGGTGAAGCACGTGAGCTTTGTTTCTGTGTTTATTAAATTTGCTAGTTTTCCCTCTGACCCTGACATCCAGCTGTGCCTTGAGAACAAAAAAAAATTCTTTTAAATAGGAGTTTATATTCTCCTTCCAGCACATCAGCAGTTAGCAAGAAGAAAAAATGAAAATTTTGGTTGTCCACATCTACAGAGTTTATTAAAATGTGTATTTTGAGAGAGAGTGAATGGAATGGAAGAGCAAATGGGAATACTGGAAATGCTGGGAAGTGTCTTCTCCATTTCTGAGCTGTCTCTGTTTCTCTTCTGAATGGTACAAAGCAGGAGATTGCAGCTGTCAAAAACTGCTTGAGGGGAGAGAGAGCTGAGCAGTGCCTGAAGATGTAACCCTAGCCAAGGATAACATCCCTGCCTTGGCTGTGCCAAGGGGTCTCTCAGGAGCAGCTCCTGAAGTGCATTCAGTACTCTGGTTGGTTGGCTTTGGGGGGGTTTGGGGGTGTTGTTTTTGGTTGGTTTTTCTCTTTGTGTTGGCTGGCTAATTTTAAAGAGCAGGTGCTTGCAGTGCCCTCGTGCTCAGCGGACACCGAACAGCTGAGATCCCTGCTCAGGTGCTGCGTCCAGAGCCACCCAAAACAAGCTCAGCAGGAGCAGAGAACCCTAGCCCCAGCCCTCCCTGCTGATGTTTTGTGTCCTGTTCCTCCCCCAGGCCCTGGGCTGGCGTTTCTGGCTTACCCCGAGGCAGTGACACAGTTGCCCATCTCCCCTTTGTGGGCGATACTCTTCTTCTCCATGCTGCTCATGCTGGGCATTGACAGCCAGGTAAAACTGGGCTGGAAGCCAATGAAAATACACATTTCTCTGGGTGGGACCAGGCTGGGCTCTCCCTGTGCTCTCCACTGGGGCAGGATGGTCCCTGGGATAATCAGATAAAGAATGGGAGGCACTGAGAAAAAACTGAATAAAAAAAACAACGCTTAAACACTTTTGTTCTTTCACGAGCTGTTGGAAGCACAGGAAAACTGGGCAGAAAATTTATTCTGCAGGCAAAAAGGAGCTTACCTTTGAAACATTCCCTGTTAAATCACAATGTTAAAAATACCTGTGCAATGTTCAGCTGTGTAGGAGACACTGGGATATGTTTTACAAGATTTAGATGCCACAGGTATTTCTGGAGGGCAGCTCCAGAACTCACCACTGGAGAGAAAAATGCAGCACACATTTCATTTTAATATCAGGGGTTAATTCTGTGGGCAATGGGATCCTTACTGAGGATATTCTGTGTTTTGTTGTGCTCTGAAATCACTTCCCAAGGGAAAGGATCACAAATTTATTGGTTCAGGCCTCACCCAAGCTCTGGGTGATATCTGACAACTGGAAATGAATGAGGAGGCTCAACCCTGGGGTTTTGCAAACCCAAGATATTCTCTGTCTAGATAAAACTGTTAAATAATTAAGACATGGAATCATTAGAAATGTTGATTGTGACATAAATAAAGAAGCACACAACACAAGAGAAAACCCTTTAGGAATAACTATGTCCAACAAAACCTTTGGTTAATCAGTGCTGACTCTTAATTCAGAGAACAGCCCCACTGGCAGCACTCAGGAGAGCACCCTGCCTTCTTTTTCAAGGAATTCTTGGAGAGTTTGGTCAGGGAAGCCCCCCTGGCTGCTGAACTGTTGGATCACTTTCATGAGAGCAGTCCTAGGCAGATGTGTTAATTTACTTGCAAACCCAGTTCCTAGCACAGCCCTCCCAGCATGTAAAGGAATGTGGGATTTACTGCCTTAGCACTGTGCCAGTCTTTCAGGAGAGAAAATCCATCATTTTCTATAAATCCAGGCTGACTTCAGCCTGTGGACACAAAAGGACCAAGAGGGCATTTTATCCTGGGAGATGAAAGAAAGTTGAGAATTTACACTTTCTAATTCTTTGTTTCTCGGCGAGCTCCAGGCTTGACATTAAAACCCATTGCTCAGTCTGGAGGGGGGAAACTGCTGTGAAATTAATTGGGTCAAAAATATTCTTGAAAGCACTTGTCTCTAGGCAACAAACAGCTGAGGATGGTGGTCTAATATTATTAAAAAGATTATATATCTACAGGCTGTCATGCTTTCTGCATTTTGTGTCTGTCACTGAAACATTTCAGACACTGTAATTTACAGGAGCTGTTAACCATTGGTTGAATTCGACTTGCTCTGCTGAAAATTAATAAAACTTTACTTACCTTCTGGGTTTCACTATTTCAACCACCTTAATGATAACATTTATCTGAATATATACACACAGAAGGATCCTGGAGTGTATCCTGATTTCCATTTGGAGGACACAGCCTCACCAAAAAATGTTTTCTGGGGATACAAAGAATATTTGATTTATTCCATGTGAGAATCGTATGGGAATCTTTCTGCACGAAGCACCAATGTGGTTAGACTTTCTCTGTGTGTTGGATTTCTTGTATGTGAGTAAATCACATAAAAAAGAAGTTCATTTTGTAGGATTGAGAGATCAAATCTAGGTCTATCACCTTTATTACAAAAAAAGAGCAGTTTCTGTTCACAGAGCGAAAGCAACAGCTCATGGCTGAGACTTCTGAGTGTTCCTCCAGCTGGAAATCTTTTTGCACAGATCTCTTTAGACAGAAACAAAAATATTCAGGGGCAGAGCTTCCACTGCAGTCAAGTGAATTTTCACTTCTCGTTGGACAGCTGCAGCCTAAGGCCAGGGAAGGGCCCAATGACCAGCTGCTCCCCAGACCCCCGTCCTGCCGTGGCAGGGCTCTGGATTGTGTTTGCTGTCCCCTTTCCCTTGCAGTTCTGCACCGTGGAGGGCTTCATCACAGCCCTGGTGGACGAGTTCCCCAAGCTGCTGCGCAACCGCCGCGAGCTCTTCATCGCCGTGGTGTGCATCGTGTCCTACGTGATAGGGCTGTCCAACATCACTCAGGTACTGCAGGGCTGGGGCTGCCACCAGCTCCAGCTGGGACAATTCCCTTCCCCAGCCCAGCCAGGAGCCGCTGCCAGCCACTGCATTGTCAGGGATTGGCGCTGCTCAGGATTTTGGGGGTTTAAGTGTAGAACGCCCTGTGGTCCCTGTGATGCTTTAGGGTTTTAGCTTTGATGCTTTTCTTTATCTTTTATTTTTTTTCAGTGTATCAGGATTATTTATTTTATCTTAGGATTTGAGCTTTTATATGTTTAGATTTTGTATTTTCCATCCATTTGCAGTGCTGCAGTTCTTTAGTGCCTGACTCCAAACTCCATGTGCAGGCTCAGCTGCTGCTTCCCCATCCTGCTCAGACACAGCAATTCCTCCCCAGGCCTGCAATCAAGGACACCTCACTGCCCCAGGCCTGAGAGATGGAAACAAAAGGGACCTGGGGGCAGCAAAGCTGCCCTAAATGACTTCATTCCCTGCAGCTGCAATGGGGAGATGAACCCCCAATGTGCAAATGGACCCAGCTTAGAAAAGTGTCAGACCTGGGACCCACTGGCCATTTTTGGGTGCAGCCCAAAATGTACCTGGAGACCCTTCAATAAATAGAGACTGCTTTTAATTCCCTTAATTCTGCCTGGCCTCTGTTTTTAGGCAGCCCCAAAAAGCATCACCTGGATGTCCCCTGCAGGGCTCAGGGGACAGCAAAATGCACATCCCCACACTCTTACAGTCTAAAAAGTGGCAGCTGGAGATGTTGACTTTGCAAATTATTTGAGGGAAATGATTAATGATTAAATTAAGATTAAATTATCAAAGAGCAAAAAAAGCAAAATTAAACTTTTCAGTTTAAACAGCAGCAATCTTAACTTGGCCAGGACTGACCTCAAGCCTTTAAAGAACTTAACCTGTTTAATTTACATTAATAGGCCCCTAACCTATCCACCACTGTTTCTGTCTTACATTTTGAAGCTGGAGGCCTTGTTTAATACTTTCTTTTCTGTTTTAGGGTGGAATCTACGTGTTTAAGCTTTTTGACTACTACTCTGCCAGTGGAATGAGCCTCTTGTTCCTTGTATTCTTTGAGTGCATCTCGATATCCTGGTGCTATGGTAAACAGCCTGTTTGGACTTTTCCCCTAAGCCTTACACATTATCCCTGAGGATAATTCAACCTGAGGTTGAATTTTGCCTGTGCTGGGGGTAGAAGTGAAAGTGGCCTCAGTTTCTGTGGATATAATTCAAAGCTGGCTTGAGGAGGGTGCTGCTGCCTTTTAAACACCCTTCCTAGAGCCCTGGGAGAGGGGAAGTGTTTTGGGATTATTAAAAAGGTGATATTTCATCTCTCCTCCTGGCCCACTCCCTCAGAAGCCTGGATCTTCAGAGGTGCTGGGCACATATTGCCTCAGGGCTCTGGGGATTGGTAATATTTCATTTTTACAGAAATCCTCTCATTCCAGGGTCCTGCAGTGAGCCAGGCTCCTTGGTCAGTTGGGGAATAATCACCTTGAAATGTCCAGAAGCCTGGACTGGCAGTCTCTGGCTCTGAGGATTAATGGATCTGTGGGATATTGCCACAGAGTATTTTTGACCTCAGAGCTGTGTCAGCTCCTCTGAGCAGCCGCTCCCATCGCCACTGGGGCACTCCAGCTGCTCCAGAGCTGGAGAACTGGAGCCTTCCTGCTGGATTTCAGTGGGACTGAGAGGATGGAACAGCATTTGACAGGGGAGAGGCGCTGCTGGGGAAGCCAGCAAATGGAAAAATTATCCCAGAAATCACAGAATGTTCTGAGATAGAAGGGACCCAACAAGGAGCTTAGTGGATGGTCCATCCAGGGCTGGGAATGATCAGCTCCAGGCTCTGCCCATGAGGAAATCAAAGCCACAGACAGGTGACAGACACAGCTTTGGGAAGCTGATGGAGAGCAGAGAGCCTCTCTGGTTTCAGATCCACTCCTGCCCATGCATGGTGTGCACTGGAGCAGAGCTGGCTAATGCTGGGATGGGTTGGGGGTTTTATCATTATAAAGTGAGCCCTTAACTTCTCATTCCAGGAAGAGCTAGAGTTGAAATCAATCAAGGGTGTTTCTTGCCTCTGAGCTTCCCATGTACAACTCCCTCATTTTGCATGGAAATAAATTTGCTGGTCTCTATTTCATGAATTATGATGTGGAAGAGTGAGAAGGGGTGATTTTTGGTGCTTTTGAGCTTACACAGGTTTTTTTTGCCATCCAGACAGCATAAAAGTTGTCTTGAGGTCTTTGTAGAGCTTCCAAATACAACCATAATTTATGACAAGTCTCCCAGAACCGCTGAGCTTCCAGTCAAATCCACCACCTGATACGTTTCTGTGCTGTTTCTTATTTCCATATCCAGGTGTTAATAGATTTTATGACAACATCCAAGAGATGGTGGGATACAGACCCTGCATCTGGTGGAAGCTCTGCTGGTCCTTTTTCACTCCTATCATCGTGGCAGTAAGGAACAAACTTTTATTCTCTGGTGGAAAGGGTGTAAATGAGGGGGCCTGGGTGCTGCAGCCTTGTCATTTCCACCCCCACAGGTTCAAATCAGTTCTGTCCTCGCTCCTTTTTTGTGGGTTTGAGCAATCCCCTTGAAGGCAATAAGCAAAAAGCAGTGTCATTAGAGGAAGCTTGTGCCCCAAAAAGAGAAGCCAGGATTTTTATTAGACCTCTGGAAATGCTCAAGAGGTTGATTGGCAGAGTTAGAAAACTGTAAGGAACAAATTTTGTTGTTTTTTTTTTTTATTTGTTTGTTTGTTTTTTGTTTTGTTTGTTCTAAAATAGAATTTAGCAATCTAAAATCTAAATTTTCCACATACACAAAAACACCGACATTCTGTAAACTGAATTCCTCCACAGGCACTTCAGGTGACAGAGCAGGGTTCTAAACTTGTGTTCTTCCCCCCTGGGATTCTGTGGCGTACATTAATCATTTTATGCTACGTTGCTGTGGGTTTTCTGGCAAACTCTGCAAGGAATCTGTACTGGGAACCACAGGACAGGCCTTTGCCCAATTCTAAACTTTCCCCAGTTAATCCCATTCAGTGCCTTGTGAAGTAACAAGCAAGGAAATGTAAATTTACTGCACACACACTGAAAAGGTGCAGTGGAACAAACTAATCAAGCAGACACTATTACACATGAGCAAATAAAGAGACACAGAAATGTGTTCACCTTGAGGGTTCCCCACGTCGTCCCTTCCCAGATTGAGACAGATTCTTGTAAAAAAACAACCCTTGAGGAAGGCATAAGAAATACACTTTATTTCAGTGGCACAGGAGGAAGATGCCCAGCATTGTAAGTCTGGCCAGGTTTGCCAAGTCCTCAGCAGAATGTGCTGCCCAGCTCAGAGCAGGGATAAAAATCTGCCTCTGCATCCTCCTCTGGGAATCTGTCCTGCACAGGGCTCAGCCTGGCATCAGAACGAGCTCCCCTCTCTCCTGGGTCACTTCAGCAGGATTTCCTGGCTGGTTGAGACATTTGAGACAGGCCAGGACAGGAGTTTTTCCTGGGAATATCCTATGGAATACCTCAAATATCTGCAGGGCATCATTGGAGACCATCCCAAAAGCAAGGCCTGGGTGCTGCTGCTCAATAGCACCATGTCCACAGGTATTCCCAGGATCCCTGTTTTCCCCAGCAGCCCCCTTCCCTCTGGCTCTGGGCAGGTCATCCAAGGACTTTACTGGTACCAGCAGCTCACCTGCAGTGTCTGAGGTGCAGGTTTAGATGTGAAAATACAACGTCAGGGTGAAACATTCGCTTTGGTAAAGGGCGACTTGGGAAGCCCTGGAAAGACTCCTGAAGCCAGAGGGCTCTGGGAATCTCACCCCAAACCCTCCCTTGTGCTTTTTCAGGGAGTGTTCATCTTCAGCGCCGTGCAGATGACCCCGCTGACCATGGGGAGTTACGTGTTCCCAAAATGGGGCCAGGGGGTCGGCTGGTTCATGGCCCTGTCCTCTATGGTGCTGATACCTGGCTACATGGCATACATGTTCCTAACCCTGAAAGGCTCCCTAAAACAGGTAAGTCGGCCTGTCCCGACCCCCATGGGACCTGTGCAATCGAAGATTGCTGGGCACCTCTTTTCTGTCATCCACTCCCCCCTCGGCTGTTCTCTTTGAGCTAAAAACCCATGAAAGCGCCAGCCAAAAGACAACAGAAGTGTCTGAGCCATCTGTTGCTGAACACAATTCCCCACCTTCCACGGGCTCCTTATCTCTGCTCTGGCAGCTGCAGACACTTGGCATTCCAGCTCCTCACACCTAGAAAACACAGCAGCACTCGGCAAAATATGGAAATTTGTCCTGATTGATGCGAGACGCGCGGCCACGGATGGAGGCAGGGGATGCTCAGGGGAGCTGGGATCAAAGTCAGGGACTAATCCACACTGCTCTGGGATTGCATGAGTCTGCTCAGTGACCCTGCTCTGCATCTCCCTGATGGCCCCCAAGGCTGCAGCTCCTGCATGTCACCTGCTCTGGGTCCCACCTGCCCTGCTCTGCTGCAGCTGGGAGAGAGGACGTGGAATATCTTGGGAGCAATTCCCTTCAGCCTTTATTTAAGGGATTTCTGTGAGTGGTCACTTCGTAAAGAACATTAGGGGCTTTATTCTCATTGCTCTCAGCCTCTCCCTTGCTCATCCTGGTTTTTAAAAGGAGGGAACACTTGTCATAGAAGAGTCAGGGGGGTTTTCAGCCGGTTTTTGTTTCAGTCAGTTTTAGTTTCAGTCAGTTTTAGTTTCAGTCAGTCTCTATTTCAGTCAGTTCTGAGGTCCTCAGAGATGTGCTGCTAAAGGAGTGGGAATTACTGACCCCAGTTAGTGCCCCACACACTCTTCAGCAGCCGCCCACAACCACCACACCTCATTTTTCTCCTCTGGGTGGATCCTCAGTTTTCCCTCTCCAGCTCCTCCTGCACATCACAGAAAGTTCTCCAGCCCAAGTACTGAAACACTCTGTAATTGTGGGAACCAAAGACTGTCAAAAAGAATTTGTCAGAACTTCTGGAATATTCTAAAATCAGCTGACAGAGCCATCTTTGCAAAGGGCTGGATGATCTTAAGGAGAATTGACGAGTGATGCCTCATGAAATGCTCAGATCTTGATCCAAATATTTGTCTTCAGCAAATTTTGAAGGACTCAGTGAGGCTTCAAAGAAGTCTGCAGAAAAACAAAAAAAAATTTGGGTTTTGATTTTTTTTTTTGTTTCACCCCCTGCCTGTTCTCAGCTCCTACATTTTGGATAGATTTCCCTTGGTCTTACAGATACTTTCAGGTGCAAAAGGAGAAGTGTTGCCCTAAAATACAGCTGCTGTGAGACCATGGTAAAAGTTCTTCATCTCAGCCTTGTTGTGGATTAAGGTCTTGTTTTTGAAAGCACTGACAAATGATTATTAAATGATGGGAGGAGCCTGCAGCAGAGAGAGGCTCTGAGGAGCCTCTCTGGGATTTCTTTTGGGATATAAAACCCAAGCTGGGCAGAGCAGCTGAAGGAACAGAGAGGACAAAAGGACGAGGAAAGAGAGGATAGGAATAAACCACTCTAAAATGCAAGTGTGTTTGACCTGTTTTATCCTTGGAGGAGCTCTCAGCTCTCCTGGGGAGATGCCCACCCCTCTGGTGTCCAGCCCTGCTGCCCACTGCAGCCCCTGTGCTGGATCATGGGCTCACAGCAGAGCCTCTCCTCTCTTCTTCTTCCCAGGAAAGCTCCTGGTTGGCATCCAGCTCTTGGCATGGGGCTTTTCAGCTCCTCCTGACACGGTCAGGACAGAGCTGGGATTCTGTTTAGTGGAAGTGCCTCGCTGCTGGTCCCTGGGAAGATGGACAGTTGTAAAGAATTGTCTTTAAATATTTAAAAAAAAAAAATGAGTAATGTTGGAAAGAGTTTTTTGGCTGCCTCACATTTATTGTTGTCCTTTGAACAGCGCATCCAAGTGATGATTCAGCCAAGTGAAGACATCACCCACCCTGAGAATGGGCCAGACCAGGCCCAACAGAGCAACTCTGCCAACAAAGAAGCCTACATCTAAAACCTTCTCTCGTCCAAGTACCGCTCCTCCTCCAGAAAAACAAAAAATATGGTTGAATATGACCACAAATTCACGTCTGAGAATATAATTACCTACCTCTAGTGGCAAAAAAAAAAAAAAAATTTAAAAATACATGTTAAAAAAAAAAAGCAAAAAAAAAAAAAATGCAACAAGGTCATCTCCACTCCGAGGGAATCGCCGTGGGTTCGATCCAGCCGTCGCGAGCTCAGATGTTTGACAGTGTTTTTGTGTTCTCCAGCAATCCACAGACTGTTAATGTTTTTATCCTTTCACAATGATAGTTGCATACTTTGGAATTTGTAAATTGATGTGCCAAGACCTTTTTAATCTACCTTTTAGCACGACTATTTGAAGTTTTGTGCTGCTGATTTTTAGTAGTTGATCACTATTTCTTACCGCTGAATCCCAAGACTGTTATTTCTGACTTTGCAGGAGTAAAATTAAGTTTGGTGTTGTTTTGTACAAAAAGAATGGGGTATTTTGTAAACAAGTGATTTCCAGTGCAAAAGTCTGCCCTTAAAATTTGTTCCAGCTGAGGCCATTTGAGGGGGGAAGAGACTCTTCCTTCAATTAACAGCAGGCACAGCCTTTATAAACATTCCTAGTGCAAAAATTGAGTTGTCTGTGGCAGCCCAGCCCAAACACACTGGCTGTGCTCAGCCTTTCAGGGTGACTTTCAAGCAAGGTCATAAATTTCTTTAAAAAAAACTATCTTGCTTCTTATAAAAAGAAGATATCTTTGTGAATCAATGTCAGAGGCATGAATACGACTTTTAACTTTTTTAGCGAAGTAATAGCCAAGAGCTCTTAAAGATTCCCAGGAGTAAAATACAAAGTATTTGCCATCCAAGCTCGGACTCCCTGAGCTTTTATCATGCTGTTACCACTCTACTATTATTGCATTGCCACCAAGATAGAAACCAAAACAACGGCTGAAAGATCGAAGCTTCTCCTTGTAAGCTCCAATTTAGGGCTCGATTGAACCTGCTAGAGAACTTTTCCAGTTCCCAATCACAAACTCAGCATGGTCAGCACTTTGAGAGCAGTGGGATTTCCATTTCCAGGGGCTGGGTGGTGCTGAGGGCACGAGGGAGAGCTCTTTGATCCCGATGCAATCCCGCTCCGGGCTCTGTCCTGCGTTTGCCACATGGCCAGAGAGCCCGGCCAGCCCCTGGAAGTTTTCCCTGCGTGGGGAATGCAGCGGGAGCCCCAGCTGGCATTTCTCGTTTGGCAGCTATAAGACAGCAGGCACGGAGGCTTTCTTTTTTTTTTTTCCTTTTTATTCCTTTTTTTTTTTTTTTTTTTTTTTTTTTTGGGAGGGTGATGTTTGATTGTAAATGACTGTGACAGAACTGTGCAATGAAAACATGCTCTTCAGCAAACTTTTTTGTGCACCGTACAATGTTAGATAGCACAATTTATGTAGAACTACTACGTGGAAAAAAACAAAAAACAAAAAAAAAAAAACATGTTACCTGTGAATGTTGGGTTTTTCGTTGTTCTCGTCTGAAGGTGACAAACATGTTCTTGCAATAAGGTATTATTCTCAGAATGTCGAGCACATTATGTAGAAATAATATATATATATAATACACTTGTATTTCAAACTACATCCTAAACTCTCAGAGTACGTGGGGTAGGTTCTAAACTGTTTCATACCTAGGTCAAATGTAAAATACTACGAGATCTAAGCTCCATCCTAAACGGCCATAGCTGAGATGCAAACGTCCTGTAAGTCTTTGGGATTTAGAGGAACCCCTCCATCCTGCGCAGACATCACACCCGATACGTCATCCTTGTGAGTTTCATTAGACTAAGGATAAAAACTCCAACTTTCTCTTTATTGTTTAATGTAACCGAGTCCCATGTTGTTCTAAGAAAAATGCAGTATTTAATGTTTGATTGTAAACAATTATGACAGATGTTTGACAGACCTGCTCTTTAGCAAAAAGCTGTACAAACGTTATCACATAGCACAAACTAGTGTTGTAGAACTACTGTGTGTAAACTGTGAATAGCTGTATCTTTTTTGTAGTACTTGCCCTGGAAAAGAAAGATTATTGTATGATCATATATGCTTTTTGCAATAAGGAAATATCCAACACCAAGCAAATCTATCTCTATATAAAAAATATATATGTAATATATACATATTCAAAAATATATACAGAGCCTGTTTAAAAGAGTACAGTATTATTTAGTAAATTGCAACCTGTTCTATGGACCAAATGTAAAATATTTATAAATTAAGATGCATTTTAAATGTCTATAAACGGTGTCATAATTAAAGCACGATTGTTATGTAAGTTTCCAAGAGTTTAGAGGAAAAAGAATAAAGGTTATATTATACATTAAATTCAGAATTTTTCAGTCTTTCATTGGACAAACCCAATCTGTGCTATTTTCAAGTTCCAAGTGTGTCATTTATATAGAAATATCCTTTAAATACCAAAACGCTGTATGCCACTTGTGATGTGTATAATTAATCCATGCTATTCCTACCATGTAATTAGTATGTGCATACATTATACAGGGAGCTTAAGAGGTGACAGTTAATGGCCCTTCCTGGCATCCTGCTGCTTTAATTCTCCAGCGGGAAGATGGCAGAGCCAGCTCTGGGAGAAGAAAAAGCAAAAGCGGATTTTGGAATGTTTTGGACGGTTCCTCGGGTGCATTTCTTCTGCTGCTGCTTTGGGGTGAGAGCTGCAGCACCTCCCTGGTTTTGAAACCAGTGCTGGATACTCCACAGGCAGATGATCCGTGGCTGCGAGAGCTCCGTGTTCCTGTCTTGGCTGCCCTGGCAGGGTGGGAAGTCGCGGAGAAGAAGACGTTGAGAAGAAGATGCGGAGAAGAAGATGCGGAGAAGAAGTCGCGGCGCAGCTGCAACGCCGCTCCTGGGCTCGGGATTTAATTATCTGCCTGCAAAACTGGAGCAGGACTTCATGCTGGGGAAGAGGCTGAGCAATTTAGAGGACCTGATTAGAATGGAAAAGGCTCCTGAGGGAGGCGTCTGGGATGACAGACTGCAAGGGCCAAGTGCTGACCTTCGGGAGGCGCGCACGGCGAGGGCGCGGCCACGAGGGACCAGATTGTTCTGGAAAAGGGGAAGCAGCAATTTTGGGGATGCCGAGGGAAATGAGAGGGAAATGGGAAAGGAAGAGGCTGAGGGCTGTCATTGGTGGCTGGGGGTGTTGGGAGGGCAGGGGGGCAGCAGGGGCAGGAAGCTACTTGGAGGATATTGCATTAGCGCTGTGATATTTCCATGTTCTCCTGGAGGAATTTGCTCTTGCCGCGCTGCAGAAATCCCAACAGCGATTCAACAAGAAAAATGCAAATAAGGTCACTTCTCCCCTACAGGACTGCAGGATGCCCTGGGAGAAATCCATGTCCTTGCTCGTCAGGAGTATTAGTTCAGCTACATGTGCTGTTATTCTAAAATAACACTGTGTTGCTTTTGGGGGTTTTTTCGGTTTGTTTTAAGCCTGATTATTTCTGTTTTGTTCCGCTCAGGCCACAATAGCATTACAATTCACTGTTAGAGCCTCTCAGCCCCCACTGCTGGCTGGGTCTCGAGGGCTGAACCCAAAGGCAGGGTGATCCCACGGCGAGGGAGCGGCATGGCCAGATCCTCACTGCCAGCAACCTGGAGGGATCAGCTCAGAGCTGCAGCAACTGCCAGCCCCTGCCTGACTCTGCCAAAGCACCACAGTCACCCACTTCCACTGCTGAGCAAGGAAAGCACCAGCTTTTACATCCTAAAGGCTCTTTTTGCTCCTCCTCGCTCTTCTTTCCCTGCTTCTTGCCCTGCTCAGGGTGGTTAAAACAAACCCAACAAAAACGAGGTGGGAGGAAGGGATTTATCCATATACATTTTTCCCCCTGCAATCTAAACTACTTCTTCTCTTCTTCCTGTGAAGTTAAAAAAAGTAAAACAAACAAACAAACAAAAAATTTAAAAAAAAAATTAAAACGTATATGGGGTAAAGTGAAACAAAATATTCATCCCTCCACAGAGCTCGGTATTCTTAAGAAGCTGATCCAAGTATTGCCACTTCTCATTCCTGCCTTTACAGTTTGAGGCCAGTCAATAAGTACATCACTCTTTCCTGCTGATAATTGATGGGGAATGGGTAAATTTCCTGTTCTCACAGAAATCCCGTTAACTTTTAGAGTTGTATTTTTGTGGTTTGTCCTTCCTTCTGACCACACGCCACACCGGCACTTTCCTTCAGGATTTGTCATTACTTTTAAAATGTATGGCTTGGTGGGGGAGAATTTTTAGCCCATTTACAAGAGCCTGGAGGGACAGGACACAGGGAATGGCTTCACACTGACAGAGGGCAGGGATAGGTGGGATATTGGGAAGGAATTCCAGCCCTAGCACAGGGTGCCCAGAGAAGCTGTGGCTGTCCCTGAATCCCTGGACATGTCCAAGGCCAGGCTGGGGCTTGAAGCACCCTGGGATAGTGGAAGGTGTCCCTGCCCATGGGACAATATTTAAGGTCCTTTCCAACCCAAACTATCCTGTGATTCCACGATTCCATGATTTTGCAACTTCATATCTGATCGTTTTTCCCCCCGGGTTCGTGGTCGGTCTCACATCCGACTCAGTGGCAAACCCTGAGCGATTATTTTGGGATCTCAGGCAGGCTGAAGTAATCCTGTGAGTTATTTGTGAGTCATGAGTACATGCTGGTGCTAAATGTGTCCAGCAGTGCCTAAGAGAAGGACAGGATGGATCAGGCATTGTCACCAGGACAAAAATTAATGTGTTTTGCCAGCAATGGTGCCTTAGTCAGGCTGCAAGAGCTGCCTGCCGTGCCTTTGGGGATCAGCAGCTGAGAGGTGGCTACAAACAAAGTAACAGAGGGTAGAAAATAGCCAAAATGGACATGTTCAGTTGGAGTCTGGAGTCTGCTCTGCACTTTACCAAACTGGAAACCCGCTTAGAGCTGGAAGGGGAATAAAACTGGATGGAACGAGTCGCTGCCTTATTCCCTTACATCATGCAGTTCCTGATCCTTGTAATTATTCTAAAGCAACCTGGGAACACCTAAAAATGTTTAACCCAAAGAAAGAAGCCTGGGAGGCTCAGTTTAGTCTAGGAAAAGGCTTCTCAGGCCCCACTGGCACTGTCATTGACTGGTCACACCACGTGCAGACAGAGCTGCCGTCACATCTCCGTGCTCCCAGTGGATGGAAAGTCACCAAAACTTACAAAGCTACAGCTCCTGCAGGGCAGTGACCCTGGTAAAACCCTAACCAGACCCCACCAACAGCAGCTCTCCCAGCCCTGGCTGTGCCTGAGCAGCTGCTGTTCCAGGTCTGATTCCCAAAATCCAGTGGCAGTTCCTGCTGCCGGGGCTCAACCCCTGGGCAGGTCCCACAGGGCTCCTCCAAAGCTCCTCGCGCAAGAATTCTGTCCCAGCACACTCCAGTGCTGGAGCAGGAGGCCACCAAACATCACCTGGCGGATGTAAAGCTGTTTTTGGTCCTGCAGGAACAGCACCAGCTTCCCTGGGATGGCTGAGGAGCGCTTTGATGAAGATTCCCCCGTGAGTAAAGCAATAAATCAGTCTCTGAATGTGAGCCAGAGCATCAGGTTGTGCTAGAGAATTATTTCTAGGTCATTTCAGTTCACTGCACTGCACTGCAAACACTTCACTGAATGAATGACCAGAATAATTAATCAAAACACTGGGGAGAAACACAACTCACACTGCAGGCAACAAACTTTACCTAAAAGTGACAGAGCTCAGCGCTTTTTAACCTGCTCTTTTCCAGCTGTCACACTGCAGCAGCACATGACCTTTCCTGCTGATTTTCCCCAGATCCAGCCTCACTCTGGGGGGCTGAGGGTGACCTTTCCCAGCCTGGTTCCTCCTGCTCTGAGCAACCATTCTGCCTCGCTCCTCCCGTGGCACTGAGGGGAAATGAGTTCCAGCCCACTTCCCACTGCCGGCACTGAGCTCCCAACAGCTCCCAGCCATCCATCAGGTCCTCCAGCCCAGCTGGGAGAAGAAAATGCAAGCTGAGAACGAGCCACAGAAGGGATATCTGTTCTTGCCCAACTCAATCATCACTGTTCTAACTTTTTTACAGAGAAATTCCTCCTGATGTCCAACCTGGCACAACCTGAGGCCATCCCCTCTCCTCCTGGACCCCCCTGGCTGTCCCCTCCTGTCAGGGAGCCAGGTCCCCCCTGATCCCCCTTTTCTCTGGGCTGAGCCCCTTCCCCAGCTCCCCCAGCCCCTCACAGGACTTGCTCTGATTACCTGCTCTCTTTACCCACTATTTTATGGCACTGCTGTTGGGGTTCTGAGGGGAAAAAAAATCCTTCTGCAATTAAATAATAAAATGCCAGCTTGTAAGCAAATGGCAAAAGAAGTCTGGAGAACATCAAGGAGCCAATCCACCACCTTTTGCTGGTGGAGAAGGGGAATTCTGCTCAGCTCCATCACTCAAAGACATTCAAGTGTCAGCATGAAACATTGTGCGTGTCACTTTCAAGCTTCTCGCTTTCACAGAAAACTTGCCCAAATATGCTCAGGAAAGTTTTTTTCCTTTGTTCTTTACATGCTCTGTGTTTCTCACCATTCAATATTTAATGATCTCTTGTGGGTTTGGCTCTTCTTTTTCCTTTGTAAGCCACGCTCCTCTCCAGGGACTTCTGGCATGGTTGTTTTGTGCTTCCACATCCTGCTTTGATTTTTCTTTATCTCATGAACCTCTGTTCTCCAAGATTATGAAACTGGGGCTCATGGTTGGGGGGATATTTTTGTTTACTGACGGCTTTTCAGGAAATGTTTCGTTCCAAATTCTCCAAGATAAGTCACTGCTGTAAGGGTAACCTCATTAGCACAAAAATGCAAATGAGAGAACAGCAGCACCCCACCACTGCCCAAGTGTTGGAAATCCCCATTTTTCCCAAGGAGCACTCCCTACTCCAACCTTTCCATTGTCTATTCTTTAGCATTTTACCACTCCTGCAAAGGCCACTTTTCCCTCTCTCCAACCCTGTGCAGATTTCCCCTGGCCAAGGGAGGGGCCAGAAATATCCTCTTTCTCTTCCCATTCCCGTTCCCATTCCCATTCCTGTTCTTCTTCCCATTCCCATTCCCATTCCCATTCCCATTCCCATTCCCGTTTCAGTTCCTCTTCCCATTCCCCTTCCTGTTCCCATTCCCATTCCTGTTCCCATTCCCCTTCCTGTTCCCATTCCCATTCCTGTTCCCATTCCCATTCCTGTTCCCATTCCCATTCCCATTCCCGTTCCCGTTCCCATTCCCATTCCTGTCCCATTCCCCTTCCTGTTCCCATTCCCATTCCCATTCCTGTTCCTCTTCCCATTCCCGT